GTTGCGTTCACCAACATGGCCAGGCTCGATGGTTGGTGTCCTTCGGTGCCCAGGTGCTGTATCGGCGGCCGGCGACTGGCCTCAAAAACACACGCAAATTGAGCTCCGGGTCGGGATCTGCTTGGGGCACATGCATGTGCATGGTTTTGTTTGGTGAAGAAATACTCTGTACAACACGATTACATACATATGTGAAAGTAGAGTGGGGGTCAAGAATTGCCTAAAATGCCAAGACGGTACTTGATATAGTATTTGGAATACAGATTACTTTTCTGGTGCCGGCGGTCTGTGGTTCTGTACGATTCGTCATGCCATTTTTTCCCCAGCAGTTGATGCGGGCGCGCCCGCCAACCCGCAATGAGGAATCAATTTTTTGGGCGACTATCGGCCCGGGATCGAGAAAGAGGCGGACTGGTCTCGCATTGCATCGAGAACAACGATCTGCCAGTCGACTCCCCGAGCGGCGGCTTATGTAAGTACAACTCTGCGCCCTGTGAATTCTGTAATGATTCCATCCCGCACCTGCACTACGCATTCCGTACCGTGGTGTCCCTCTCGTTCTCCGTCGGATGTCACCGGTTGATGACCGGCCGGGAGTTTGAATGTCGTCTTCTGAGTCTTACATACATGCACTATGGTAGTACAAATGACAATGTGACTCAACTGCCTTGAAAGATTTTCTTTCGTCTATATTCTAGAGTTTATGGGTGTCGCGGCGGCTGAATACAATAGACATCATCTACGAAGAACTAATACACAATGTAGAAACAGCGATAGTTGCATGCTAATACTTGGCAAAGATGCCAGCGCTTGCCAGCTATCATTCCGAAAACCGCATCGGAACATACCTAAAAGATGCACCTTGATGGAATAGATAACGATTCGCGCCAGAAACAGACAAGAGACCATGCTGGTAGGAAAAGTTGCCGACTTGGAGAAAGACACTGTACCTACTTTATGGCTCGAGGGGTCTGCGTCATTGGGGTTCAGCTCCAATTCTGCGTAGCCAATCCGAAGGCCGCCCTGAATATTTTTCTTTTGTAGGAGGCTCAAGGGTCCTCCGCTCGCAATGAGGGGCAAAGAATGTTCAAAAATATCTTGGGGTATTAACTTTCCAAGGTATCCTTTTCTTAACGTACCATAACAGCCTTGCCAGCATTCAGACATGCCACAAATTCCAATTCCCTCACCGTAGTCAGCAAGAATGGCAACTTTCGCCGTATGCGGAAAATGCCTCCCCGCGCCTACGTCGGCTTCATTCGGACTCGCCTATTGACGCTTGAATCTCCCTTGCCCCCCCTCCACTACGTACCAGAAAGAAGGGATGGGATACCTTGCGTTAGGCGGCGGATACCATCGCGACCAGTCGACTCCACCGGCCGAAAACGATACGTTGGTTCCCTTCCCCGATCCACCCGCTCTTATGCCCCTCCATCAACCCCTCTGTCCAGTCAACCAGAGCTTGCTATCAGTTCCTGGTGGAAGGAGATCGAAGTCGGAGCTGGGTCGGATAGAATGTAGGCCATGGTCTACTGTGGATAACGGCGCTGGCTGCGGCGTTTCGCAAGCTGTTTCGATTAGTAGCTGGCCCCGAAAATGGTGACAGAGCTATCGGCCGCGAATATAGATATCAGAGCACCTGCCTGACGTCTATCGATCTCTTCTTCTCCTTCTTTCCTTTCCTCCATTCATCAAACAAGTTCTCTTATCAAACCGTCAACATTCCGTCCCTGTCGACATCCAACCTTCCTCTATCTCGACACCACCAGTCAAACAAGAACAAACAAACAAACATCACAATGGCTCCTCTCAAGGCTGGCGACGACTTCCCCGAGGGTGTTACCTTCACCTACATCCCTCCTGCCCCCGAGACCTCTGAGTTCTCTGCTTGCGGCATGCCCATCAAGTACAACGCCAGCAAGGGTACGTTTACATATCTCTCTCCCACTCGCTCCTGGGTCTTGCCAAGATAGCACAAACAAAATACTAACACGCTTTCCTTCAAACAGAGTTCAAGAACAAGAAGGTCGTCCTCTTCGCCCTTCCCGGTGCCTTCACCCCTACCTGCTCTGCCAGCCACGTTCCCGGCTACATTGCCAAGTTCCCCGAGCTCAAGGCCAAGGGTGTTGACCAGGTCATCTGCCTGGCCTACAACGACCCCTTTGTCATGTCCGGTTGGGGCAAGGCCAACGGTGTCAAGGACGAGTCGATTGTAAGCTAATTGCCCACCCAAGATATCTATATCTCTCCGAGACGTTATATAGGAAAGAACAGCAAGCTAACCATATCTCTTCTCGCTAGGTCTTCGCCTCTGACGAGGGTACCGCCTTCTCCAAGGAGTACGGCTGGGTTGAGGGCGAGCGCACCAACCGCTACGGCATGATCATTGACCACGGCAAGGTCATCTACTCCGAGGTTGAGCCTCACCTGCAGGTTAGTAATTACTGCTGTTCCCTGCCCTGTCGGCCTGTTTTCGCGGATGTCACTTGGGCACATGCTTTGTCCTTCATCATGATGCTTCTTGACCATCGAGTTGGCCCTCGTTCTATTCAAACGCAGCTACTAACAAAATCCGTGAAGGCACAGGAGGTCAGCACGGCTGACGCAGCTCTAAAGGTGTTGTGATTGTTCTCGTTGAAATGATCACGATACGACAAAACCCCATATAGAGGCGTGAAGACAGAGGAGCGTGGGGGATCATAATGTTGGGGCCCGCCATTACGCATGTAAGTACCTGCCTTGTATCACAGGGCCAACTGGGAAGCAGCTGATGGGGGTCTTGCTTTGTCTTTTGCGGTAGAATTCCTTTCTCTGCTTCTTTAGATCTAGATGATAGACTTAGACCTGACTTACGGCTATACGAAACTTGATGACTATACACTTGCCGACTATACTGCCCACGTGATGCGACTAGTGCGGGAAGATGATCGCGCCTTCCACTTTGAAAGTCCATGCACCCTTTAGTGGTATTGACCTGTAATGGACCACCCAGTACCTCTTCAATTCTCATCGTGTCCCAAGGAAATGAATGCAATAGTATGATGGTGGTTTTCTCATGTTGCGGGTCGTTACTGGAGAACTCCGCCCCATGGTAGCTACCTAGCTAGCCATTGCAGGAGCCACTTGAGAGGCCCCAGCATCAGACTCTATGCTTCTAAGGACCAGAATCGACTCCACAGAATGATCATTTATTTGTATCTGTTCGAGAGATGCATGGCATACTGGGCCCTCTATATTCGCACAAACCAACGTCTATATTTGGTGATAAAAAGTACCTTCAGCATCACGACGGGCCTTCTTGCCTTGCTCAAGGTGTCACTGTCACTAGAATTGGGCTTGTTGGGTCTTGTCAATCTTGGAAATATTGCCATCATTTTTGAAGCTGTGGTTGCATACGGAGCAGATGGGCTCGAGTTCATTTCCATCCTTGTCTTAACAAGCTTCCCTCGCTTTGTTTCTGGCTTGGGGTTTGCTGGACTTCCGTCCGCAGTCTCGCCTTCCTCTGTCGCAGCCTCTTCATCACGCGACTTTTCCAAACAGGTTGAACACCCGATGTTGGTCGCTGAGAATGGTTTGGTCTTGTCAAAGCGTCTCATGTTTCGTGTGTCCTTGAAAGTGTGCTTGTAGTTGGAACAGATCGGCTGGATTTCGTTTCCGTCCTCACCTTTTTTAACCCAATTCTTTACTGGTTTCTTCGCAAGACTTCCATCCGCAGTGCCACTTTCTGCTGCTTTCGCAGCCTTGCGCTTTGCTTGCCTGTTTCTGGTGCAGTGCCCACACAACAGGTTTGTTGTTGACCATGGCTAGGTTCCATCAATCTTTGTGAACCCCTCCAAGTGCTTGTACGTTCTCTTGCATTCATGACAGAAAGGCTGGAGTTTGTTGCCATCTTCGTCCTTTTTTGAATCTCTCTCTTTTCTCTTGCAATTCTCACATGCCATATTTGTGGCTGACCACGGCTGGTCCGGGTCGATGCGTCTGAAATTTCTTCCATGCTCGTAGGTCTTCTTGCATTTGGAACAAATTGGGTCAAGTTTGTTCCCGTTTTCATCTCGTCTGATGTGAAAGGATGTGCCAGCCTCCTTCTTCGCTTTCTCTTGGCAACTTGGACAAATCATATTTGATTTTTACCACGGCTGTTGTCTGTTGATGCGGATGAACCTTCCGCGGCGGACGGAGATGATTGAGGAGACCAATCGAATGCACCCTACCGACGAGCAAGGTGCGACTATTTCGCGCCAACTTCAAGACGCTGGTATCTCGGTCGGTGTCATGGGCCAAATCAGGGAACCCTGGATCAGCACAGGGAGTGGGTATACCTGCCGCCTGAATACAGAATCTTGGACAAGCAAGTGATGGCTGATGTGACAGAATGCACATGCCAGCTGATTGGGATATATTCTGAAGCCATTCCATCGGCAGGGAAAAAAGACAAAGAGAAAAAAGAGAA